ATATAAGGTGCCCTTGTTATTAATCTTAGTATAGTAGTAGCGCTCTCTACTCTCTATCTTAACTACTTTATTAGGGCTAACTATAGGCTATGCCCTAATATTATCTAGGATATAGCTAAGGGCAAGGTACTATTAATAGTGCTTTTATAACCTATTAAGAATATATTCTAAACATGTTTTAATCTACTTATATAGAATAAGAGGGATACGTTAGTAATAGGTATAGCAGCAGCAGCTTGTAGTATTACTAGTATAGAATATATTTAGAATAGGTTTAGAATATATTATAAAATCTTATAGTATAATGTTTAGTTAACCTTGCTTAGCTAGCTAGTAGAGCTTGGCACGGCCTAACCCTATGCTGAATACGAGTTCACGCAGCGCTAATTCCATGGTCATATGAACTGCGCCCTCCCACGTTCCCTTTTCCCCTCTAGCACCAGACTGTGAGATCCAGGGATCGGTTGGGAGATGGGTGGGGTCTAGGTATGATTCTAGGGTATTAATGTCGCTAGGCACTGCCTACAACAGCCCGGTTTTTGATCATGACGGGATTGACTGGCACAGTCATGGTCTGCTTTAGTTCTACGCGTAAGCAGCTCATCTGTGGTCAATAAAGCCACAGGAAATATGTGCGAAATGGTCGGAGCAAGTCTCGGCGGCGATTGAGTACCGGTATTGGGTTTGGGAAAGGGAACAAGACTTGGTAGCCGCATCGGGCGTGCAAAAGGGCATCAGTCAGGTGGGGAGGTTGAAGCTTAGGTACGGTATCTGCTATTTGTCACGGGTACACATTTGATACGAATTTCATCTTTGACAAAGGTATTACCTTCTATTCGAATTTGGTTACCTACTTTGAGGCTCAAAGTGTACCGGTACGATCACGAAAGTACGCCGAGCTACGGTTATACTTCGCTCGGATGGATGCCGGAAAAGGTTCGGGCGTTCATATCCAACCCTTCCAGTGATGAAACCGAAGACGCGAAACGAACACCGTCAAGTTCACCACATGGAGGGAATGCTTGTCAGTCTTCGACTTTTCCAATATCTTCCGGTTTCTCCATCTTGTAGTCTTTGGCCGCTAGCGGCCGGTTTACTTTACAGATAAAGATAGCATTGTCGGTGCTCCTGCGGGCGAAATAAAATATAACATGCAGCCATATCCTGTGTCAAATTCACCGACTTGACCGCATAGGCCAGAACAAGGGCAACGGTGCTATTAAGATCAATTAAAGTCTGGAATCATTTCGATATCAGGGACGTCGTTGCCCTCAAGCCGTTGTCGTAAAAGTTTCCATGAGAATATGATCCGAGTGAGGCAAATTAGCAACGTGGTGGATAGCAAGGTTCTGCAGGGAGGTAAGACACTGTGTCACGTAATTCCTTCACAATTCTATCCAGTGCGGTCCTAGATCAATTTCTCGACAAGAGATGGTATATCTGCTCCTTTAGGAACTCCTGTATATAACATCATATTACCATACTTTATATTACAAAGTTCTGTCATATCAATTCAACCTGAATCCGCTCAGACACCAGATTAAATATCGTAAGATCTAAAACTTGACATCGCACAATCCGTGTGTAAGGAATCTAATCAATAGATCCAGGTTCATGACCGTGATGCTCAACTGTTCCAGCAATGTAGGCTGTTTCTACCATGCTTTGCACTCCAATACGTCAAATGTAGGACTTGACCGTCCAAGAGTATACATCAGAAATATAACAATCACATATGCTCACGAGTCTCAGCTCCTATGAAAACGCAGCAACGACCGGTGCATGGAGGCGGAAAGCACTAACTACTAAAATCATACACCTTTCCATCTTTGGACGATAACTGAAGAGGCCCCCAGTCTCGTCCATAGGACGTTTATGAGGCAGCGCATCGCAGCATTTTGCTAACACGTCGTAATAATTCACCATTATTCTCTTTGACTCGCGCACATGGCGTCATAACAAGGTTCAACTTGTTCACCATCGTGTTCAGCAAGAAGAATAACCGAAGTGATAAGAAGGATAAAGCTGCGAATCTTGAATTTTAAGTTCATCAGGGAAGCAAAAAAATTGTGGAAGGTTTGAGGTCCTGGCACCGAATAGGTGGTCGGTTTCAAAAGGGAACTTCAACCGAAAAGGCTTGCAGACGGTGATGTAGTGCTTGTGCCCTCTAGTTTAGATATACTTCGTTCGTTTTCTATGAAACATACAAGATCTTAAAGGTATATAGGCTAGTCAGATCCATAGCAAGCCAGAATACTAATCTTTGGACTCATGTTTAGACTCAGACAGTGGAGATCAAGGAAGCTAGCGACAGATGAGAGGTTACCTTGAGTGAGGGAGAGTGAGTGAGGAAGAAAGCATCATTCTTTTTGTGGGCTTTTGAAGAGAAGAAACTAGGAGGAGGAACATGTTTCGACGAGAACAGCTAGGCCATCTTGCAAAGGATATTGCCATAAAAGTGGTGTTGGGTTTGACTAGGCTTGTTGAGATCGCGGTATTAGAACGATAGTCGTCTGCTTACGATAGAACATGTACCGGTACCGTACTACCAGCTGGTCATGTGAGCTCTAACGTCATAATTCCACAGATTTGACCCATTCAGCAGACCGATCACGCAATCCGTGCCTGCAACATGTTGAAAGAAGCGGAAATAAATAGCACACACGCAGAAACTTGTTCAATGGGTACAAAACACGGCGCGCAACATGTCAAAATTCTAAGGATTGGTTGAGTATTTTATGCGAAAGGTAGGTACCTACGGTACGTGGAAGCTTAAGAGGAGTCAGTTAGCGTGCAACTTCCGGACCACGTTATCTGCTACCACGTTCAAAAAGCCCTATGATGCGAGCACTTGCACTTCATACATCTTACAGTGCCATAGAACACACCCTTACGTCGCTTATCTCTTCTATGACGTTGCTGCTCCTACATTGGAATTAGGATCTAGGACATTAAACGAAGATCCTATTTTGCAAAAATGGCATCAAACTATCTACGGATACGGTAGATGAAGGGTAAACATAAGTTACCGGAAACGTTACAGCTTACCATTAACAGTGCCTTGATTCTGTTCGTTACAATGGTCTTTGTTCCAATAGCTAAGATAAGCATAGTCTTGGATGCATGAGCTGGCTCTCTATGATACCGGTAGGTAGGAGAGTTGTGTATTGATTGCATACACCTTGGCCGCCACAGGATCTCCAAACCTTGGAAACATTACTACTTTGTGCATCATACAAAGTTATGTACAATGCCCAGACAGGACTGCGCGGCTACAACCCGTGGGCTATACCTAATTAGGAAGGAAGAGAATATACACCCTATCGCAACGAGGACAATCAGGACATCACTCTCCATACTGTTTGCAGCAGCAGTACCCCACCATGGTTCATGAGGGTGCAATCAAAGCAAACTATAGTTTTTTATCAACTTCTGAGAAAAACCTAGAACCTCTTTGAACCCTAAAGACAATCGTCTTGACACACCAAAACTCTCCGGAACGTTGCGGTAACGCTACTAGTAAGTATCCTTGACAGGTTATGAATCGTTGGTCAATGTTCACAGTTGCAATCACGCATCATTTGAAGTAATTAGCCCTACGAAGATGCGTGAGGGGCAAACAAGCATTCTTTATCATGAGGCTGAGTGTCGTGAACGTGTTCGTTGACTACAATTTACTCGATGTAGTAGGTAATTACGAGTCATCGCAGCGTTGTCTGTTGACTGCATGGACATTGAACATATTATTATGCAGATCAACGACGTCGTATGCTAGCCAAGTAGATGTCCTGGCTATCATGTACGCTCAAACACATCCAGCTGCCTAATTGAGCATCGTTGCCGAGCAATACTACAGAATGGCTGTGCATCTTCCCCTCAACTCTCCAAGACGCGCTGCGGAGTCATGTCCAGTCCAGTCCACGTTATGTCCACATCATCCCGTCCGTCCCCTGCGATATGGTCATGGTAGGGGTATGGTGTACCATATATAACACCCCATCAAGTTCGCCCTTGCTTTTTGGTCACCCTCCCGATATATTCTAGCAAGGTAAGATGCGACTGACAAAACTGGTGCTGTTCGCACCGCTGGTAGCCTCCTCGCCATTCCAGCCTGGCTCGGACGTAAACGCACGAGATGCAGGAGTCAACTACGATGGATATCACGTCTACCGCGTGACTGCATCATCACCGGAAGAGGCTCGCGCTCTCGAGAAAAGGTTCTCTAATTTTCATACCCATCCGATTCGAGACACTTTGTCCATTGCCGTGCCACCGCGGGAAGCTGAATCCTTCAACACGCTAGGCCTGAATGCGCGCCTGGTGAATAGAGATTTGGGTAGGTATATCCGCTCTATTGACAAGCCATCATCATACGAACATACATTACACAAGCGTGGAGAGTTGCCAGACTTGTCCTGGTATGATAACTACCACCCGTATGCCGACCATCTGCAGTACTGGGACGATCTGGTGCGCGCATTCCCGAAGAACTCGGAGAAACTTTCTATTGGCCAGAGTTACGAGAATAGGACGATATATGCGTTTCATCTCTTTGGAGACAAACAAAAGAGTGAAGATGGGAAAGAAACGAGCAAACCCATCATTCTGTGGCATGCGACGATTCACGCGCGAGAGTGGATTTCGACCATGGGTAAGCCAAATGCTACTCACAAGTGTTCTGATGCACATTACTAATACGAGAAAAAAAAGTGATTGAATACCTCGCATACCAACTCATTGATGGCTACAAATCTGGAAACTCCAATGTCACTGCCTGGCTTGACTATTACGATTTCTACATCGTCCCAATTGCCAACCCCGATGGCTTCTTATACACACAAACCAATGACCGACTATGGCGCAAGAACCGCCAGCCTCGCCCAACACTCAACACCACTTGCCTTGGTACTGACGGGAATCGCAACTGGAAGTTTCAATGGGATGCTGAACCACCCGAGGGTGGCTCAACTCCAGATCCTTGTGGCCAGACCTACCGGGGCATCGCACCCGGAGACACGCCCGAGAACCAGGCAGTTGATGGACTTTCGACAAAACTCGCACAGACGGGCCGTGGCATCCGCTCCTTCATAGATTTCCACAGTTATGGTCAAATGATATTAACACCCTACGGCTACACGTGCGATCCACTGCCCGAGACATTGCCTCGCATGCTGGAGGTTGCAGGCGGTACGGCACGCGCCATCGAAGCAGCGAGCACACGAAACAGCACATATCGATTCGGGCCAGGCTGCCAGATTCTGTACTTTTCGACGGGAAACTCGAGAGATCATCAGTTTGCGGTCCACGGTGCTAATCATTCTTGGACCATGGAGTTGAGTCCACAGCTCGAGGGCGGTCCTGGATTCGTGCTGCCTCCAGAGGATATTTGGCCCGTTGTTAAGGAACAGTGGGCTGGGCAGCAGTGGCTTCTTAATGATGTGTGGGATGATTGAGAAAGGCGAGCATGTTGTTACAAAGGGTGCAGAGTTCATGATGGCACACTTCCGTTGGTGAGCGCGTGAATAACGTTGCAATGATATGATATTACGGTCGCCTCCAATGACGTATTGTCTAAATGATATTCAAACATCTTGCCATGAATTCCTATTCGTGTCCACAGCTAACTTCGTTGTTTTTTTCTTTGTTATGACCATGTTCGCGTCCAGGATTGTTTGCCCTTCTGCTAATTCATGGAAGCAGTAATCTATCTCTCTAGAGAAAATGCCCATCGAGTACTTGAATCCAAGACCAATGTAAAGAATAGAGCTTTCATTCTCAAAAACAGAGAGTCCAAGCGCTAGACGAGCGAGTGAGAATATGTTGCGCGCATCGTGCGAGAGGTGTTGTGTTATTACATGGCTATACAGTTTAGGACTCTCCTGGCCAGACCTACAACTCGCAATGTTTGGTAGAGTTTCGGCTCTTGTTTTGGACCAAAAAACTCTTTCAGGCAGAAAAAACTTCATACTGTTCATTGTGTCCTAGAAGGTGTACTGAGAGCAGTGATAACAATCTAGATTCATTGTTATAGAACAGATCTGACTTGTGCAATCGTTTTTAACAATTATTTTATGGGTTCAGACATTCAGATAGAAGATGCAGTATCTACTGCATTTCTTGAACAAAGCAACCAATGGCACTCGTGAAGTGTTATGCCCAGTGAATAAATAAAGGTCCGTCTCTCATCGCAGATAAAATCAGTTGATCCATGGCACAGGATTGATTATGTAAGTAGCTTAGCCAACGTGAACTGCCCAAGGTCCAGTACCAGGACAGGAAGCAACGTCTAAAAAGATACCATGGCCCTGACGCAAGTGATCCTTTACCTTGTCGCGCCTCGGAAACGGGTGATTACCATGAGCTTGGCTGCGAGGACAGCCTTTTACAGGACACCAATGCATGGTCTTCATACATTCTTCCGCATGCGCTCCATTGTGATGACGGTAGAAGTCGTAGGGACGATTGTACGTTTTGCAACAGCGGGCTGCGGAGCATTTAATGAGGTATTTGCTCGGAGTAGGGGTACTATAGATAGCAGCGATTGGAGGAGACTTGGTGATATCCTGGAGCGTGGTCACTATTCGAGGGGATGGCTCTGTCATGCCTGCTGCATAGCTCTGCACGCGAGGAGATTGCGGAAACATGATGTCATGGGAGGCTGGTGTAGTGAAGTACCCGTCCATGGCGGCAGCGGGCAAGGAGATCGATGTGAATGACTCACTCCTATTGACCGAGTTAATTCGTCGTTGTGTTAGAGGTCCCTCGGCGTACTTACCCGTCATCCGACGACACATTCCAGTCAGTCGCGCCTCCCTCCTTTGGCGAAAATGAATTCAAAGAATTGTGGCTTTGAGAGGCTCCATTATTGTAGCAAGTGTGAAATGAATGACGAGGCTGTCGAAGGTCTGGGTCCATAAAACCGTGGACCGCGGGTTCAACTGCGTCAAACTGGCTTGCGGCGCAGTTGTGGTTGAGTGGCACATCACTTAGCCACATTCCTTGTTCTGGAAAGGCTATAAGAATCAGTAAGCATCCTAAAAGAGTGGAGTAAAATCGTTCTTCCGAGCCGACAACTGACATTCAGATGTATGATGGGTTTTGCTCCCGACTTGACTGGTATTTTCTTCCCCTTCTGCCTCCGGTTGTGGGCGAACAAGGCCCATCGAGGGAGACGCCGGTGGATATCCGTTTGGGGTTTCAAAGGGGAAGCTTGAATCCATTTTGGAAAATGCAATAGATAATTAAGAATCTTCGATAGAGACGAGTTGCAGATATCCGATATTGCAATCTTTCAGTGTGTGACCTTGGAATCGGGCAGTCGTGCAAGAGCGAACACAGACAGCTGGGACTACGACTATATAACCTGATTCTCGACTGTCAGCCATCATGACAGCTCATAGTAACCATTTGCCCTTCCATGTTCCGATGCCTAAGGGTATCATGAAAGATGGCATTTTGGTGTTTCAATCGGCGATTGAATTGAGTGGCTCGCTTCCATGGCCCTCGCAGTGGCGCGGAGAAGGATTGGCTCTCAGGTGCGGCCCCGTCTCACTCAGCTTGGCATCCTCAGCAATCTTCGCCACTTCAGTTCATCCGAATCGGTCCGACAAGCGCTTTCGGTTTTTACAAAATCCTGGTTATCAATTATTGGCAGCTTCTTTCATATCTCCTCGTAAACGTCATCCGCATGACCACGTGCATGTTGCAGAAGAATGGCAGGAACACAGAGAAGAAAGAGGACACATGTGCACAACAGCAACACATCTAGTCCTAATCCCATGATCGAAGTCCCTCCCGCCGCGACTTAGTGATACACATGGACCCAGTTCTGGGTGCCAGTGGATGTTATCTCCCTCAGTATGGGTTACTATACAACGCAAGTGACAAAGCCCTTGTAGCATGGTTTTTAACGAGAGCCCTTCTAACAAACTTCTCGACCGGTCATACCCACACTGCCCACCGCAATCCTAATCACATTCTTACGCCGGAAGGAAAAATGGGACATCAGTGATGGTGCAACGTCCAACCAACAGCATTCTGAGCATGCAAATCTATTAGATTCTGGCTAAAAAGGTCTAATACTATAATTGACTACTCCTACTATGTAATCGAAGTTACAATCTCAGCCGCAAGTGAAGTATTATGTTTGCTATTGTTTCGTGAGTGTGAACAGTAATATCCCACTTTTTTTTTTGGCGTTGCAGTCACAATCCTGGCCGTAGTATTTCTACCCACACTGCAGCTTGGATATAGTCTAGGCAAAGCGTAGGCAGAATATAGAAAACCATAGAGAGTACATAGCTCATAGATCTTAGAACACAGTCAAGCCACCATCCACCATCCCTCACCTTTCTCGCGCCTCAAATCACGAAGTATCATCACCTCCAAATCCACTCCTTCCAATCTTAAGACTGCACCTATTCCACATCCCGACCTATCCCAACCTATCGCAGCCTATCCCACTACACCATATTAAACAGAACCCCAATTCTAACCCACGGCAGTCTCTAATCCTTACCAGAAATCCTCCCAGAAATAGCGGCGGCATCAACACGACATGCACAAACCATCAACCTGGCAACACGCGCGTCCCAAGTCTAGACACTTGATAAGAGGAGAGAAAAAAACGCCACCCGCCAAGTCCATCAGTCAATCTTACTGTATGTAAAAGTACAAAGCGCATTATTAAAGCAAGTGACGCGAATTGCCACGAGGTCAAAATCCACACCCTCCCCTTCCTCCCCCTCTGCAAACACTTTCCCTCACCATCACACGCACAACCAACATCACCAAAGCAAACATTGCAAAGCCCCTCAAACTAGTAGAATAATCGCACACTCTTCATTATATTAATCCCATCCATGCCCATACACCACAGCAGCACTACCACCACCACCACCACCACCACCATTACCAGCAGTCACCAATCTCCCATGACGAGTTGTAGTTTGGAAGAAAAAAAGAACAAAACAACAACAACGCCGGATACATGCAAAATGCCCCTGAATCGAATCGAAACAGCCTCGGGAAAATAGCCGTTCGTCCATGTCAGGGTTCCTGATATCCTAAATCTGCCTTGAGGAAAAAGGATTAGAAAAGATAAGAAAAATAATATAACACCATTCAGAGTAATTTCAATCGGAAATAATCTCTGATATGCAAAGTATCGTTAAATCACCAACCATTAATCTTACTTCTTCCTACTATTCCTTCTCCTCCTTTTTGTCTGTTGCTGCCGTTGCTTTTGCAGGCTCTTTGTCTTTCATGATCATGGCCCGGAATTCTGCATTGCTTTTCGCCTCGCCGTTTGTTGTCGTGGCACCCTTGGGTATGGTCGGACGGCCAAGGCCTGGCCTCCCACCGCGGCCTCGCCCGCCTATTCCACCACCACGCGCAGCCGGTCGATTGACGCGATTTGGCTGCACAAAGCTGTTTCCAGCTTTCCACTCTCCTTTCTGTTTATTAAGTTCCTGCACGGTGCCGATGCGAAGCTTTCGCCCCTCAAATTCCTTGCCCTCGAGTGCAAAACCCGCCTTGCCAGCATCTTCAATAGTGGTAAATTCGATGATGGCACCGCCATGCTGAGGCTCAAGCTTGATCTTCTTGAAGCCGTAGGCTTCAACAAGTGGCCTGATGCGCACGTCTGGTACGGTATCTGGGAGGTTGAGTATGGCGATGGAGCGTTCAGTAAAGGAGGCCGGCTGAGCCTCAGTATCGTTGGTGGTTGTGGTGGTGGTTGCGGTTTGACCAGTGGTGGAACCGCGTGCTTCTGCTGCATTTTCGTTTTCGAGAGTCGACTTGATCTTTGGCTTGGCAGCACCGCGGTCACTAGCGATTTCTACCTTGAGATCAAGTCCCCAGAAGGTCTTTTCGTGCATTTCCGCAACAGCATTGTCTGCGCTTTCTTTCGACTCATAGACGACGTAGCAGTACCCTTTGTTATTACCAGAGGATTTAACAATCGGTACTTTTATTCGCTCAATTTTGCCGAACTTGGAGAAAGCTTCTTCGACATCGCGCTCCTTGACTTTGAAGTTGAGATGCCATATATAGACTTCACGGCCTTCGGATGTGGCTCCGTCACGTTGCTTCTTTGCAGTTGGGTTAGATATCTTCGAAATAAGCTTGAAACCTTCGACGTCAGCTCCATCGAGCTGAGTAGCGGCAACCGCATCCTCTGCCTTGGCGAATTGCACATAACAGAAGCGGCGATGGGTGTCAAACTTGAGCGATGGGAATCTGATGCTCACGACTTCTCCGAATGGCTCGTAGAGCTTTCGTAGGTAAGCTTCATCGGCCTGTGCAGGGTAGTTTGCAACGTAGAGTGTTGTGCTCTGTCCCCGCTCAATCGAAATGCTATGACCTTCGAAACCCTTGGCTTCTTTGGAAAGGGCGTAGTCGGCTTCTTCAGTTGCCTCAAACTCCACAACCGCTGTCACGCTGTCTTTTTCCTCTTTCAAAACTAAATTACGGACGGTGCCAGCATCGGTGAAAAACTGACGTATCCTAGTTTGAGTTGTGCCGGGAGGTAGTTTGCGAACGATGACAGTGGTGTGTTCACGGTCCCTCTTTGGCCCAATAGACGGGGCTTCTGATGGAGCTTCGCTTGCTACCCTGGCTGGGCCGTTGACCACCGCACCGTGTGTCACGGGAAGGTCAGCACGTTTGGTCTTCTTTACAGTTGCATCGTCATTCCCATCTTCTCTCTTACGCTTACTCGAGCCGTCAGCGGCCTGGCTTCCTGGCGTCTCCTGCTGGACGGTGGCCATGGTGGCTGCCGCTGCACGTTCCTTCTCCCGTCGAATGGACACAGCTCTCTCGGCCCGCCTACGCTCAATGGCAGCGCTACGGACCTTTAGAACAGACTCATGTTGTTCGCAATGGTTCATGTACATTTCGATAAGGTTTTCGGGATAGTCGATCGTTTGTAAGCGTTTCATGGCTTGCTCGAGAACTGCGGTGGCGTACGCAGGCGTTAGGAGCGGCTGACCGACGTTACGGTCATTTCTGGTAGCATGTTGAGGCCAGAATACCATTTCAAAGATGTACCATCGGTACCAGAAGTCGTATGAGTCTGCCTGTGACTTCACCAGGGACTCCCATATATTACGTGCCTCTTCGACATTACCACGCTGAAGCCAGAACCTTATGTGTATCCGCTCAAGACGGTATCGTGGATCGTACCAATCTCTTCCATGCTTCTTCATGCCAACCTCCTTCACAAACTCGATTGCGGAGCGAATGCCAACCTCGGCGACGTCGATGTCGTCCTCCGTAGCTCTGGGATCATCAAAAGCTCTTCGCCGTAGGTAGCCGCACCAAGCAAGCTGTACGGAGATGAGCTCGTCGAGTGCGGTATGCTCGAGAAGTCCTGATCCAGTTGCTGTGTGTTTGACGCGCTCCAGGTCTTCGAATGCCTTGTTCTCCAGCTCCAATGTAAGGAGTCGATGCGACCACAGTGATCCAGACCAGGGACAATGCCGAGTTGCTCGTTCTAGAACATTGAGAAGGTCGACTGATGGATTGTTCTGCCAGATGAGAAACTCAACGTGATCTTCCCAAATCGCCGGATCGACAGGGAAACGAAGCGTAGCCCGTTCATATAGAGCGTTTACGAGATGAAAACTGTAGACACCCATGGTCTTTTTTTCCCATTTGAGATAGCGGGTCATAGCGGTGTATTCGGCTTCTTGGTCGCCGGCTTGTATTGCTTGAAGCAGCTTGAACTCATACTCTTCGCGATGGGCATACTGTTCTTTGATATGTGTATTCTTTTGCACCGCTTGCTCCATGACCTCTTCGTAGTGGCTCTGATTGTAGCGCGAGTTGAAGGATGAGTACCTGGACAGGGTGTTTGCCCATGTCGCGTGAGGTTGACCTAGGCGCTCGTTGTAGATCGCCGCTACCCTCACTGCCTTTTCTTGGCTGAAACCGCCGCGTTCAAGGTCCTCTTCTAGTACCTGCAAATAGCGATCCCATACCAAATTGCTCTCCTGCAAGTTGTACTTGACTCTGTCCGCGCCCTGCTGTAGCGCATCGAGAAGGAGTTGCGGGCTGAACAGTTCCCGGCCAATGAGCCTCTCTTCTTCTGGCCATTGTTCTGGGGGCACTTGATCCCACGAGCAGGCGACCAGATAGCTTACATACTCTCCGTAGGCAGCCCACAGTTTTGCGCTATAGGGTTCATCTAGCGTTGCTTGTTTGTGCAATTCGAGCACGCCCATGCGTTCTTCTACGTTGCGCGCAAGAGTCTTCTCATCATTGAGTCGATAGTGCCACAAAATCTCGCCCAGTGGGTACTTGTCAGACATGGTCTTGTAAGCATCGCGCAGGGTATGGACGAGCTCGTAGGAATTGGGGTCTGCGTCCAGACTTTCGAGGTGGTTCTGCAGGCCTTGGTGGAGAATGGTGACAAGCGAGACATGGCTGTAGTAATCAAATGGATTCTCAACCAGAGTTTTATCTAGCTGGATGAGCCAATCGATGTGTTGCTGATCGAGTGAGCGTGTAATGAAGCTGCGCGGTCTGGGAGATGCTTCCGACATCATGCTTGCAACCGAGTCGCCAGAGATGTGTTGGCCGAGATGTTGGAGACTGCGATGGCGGTTAGTGCTTGGGGTTGTGAAATGCTTGTTTGCTTTAGGACCATCTGTCGTCAAACTGGCAGGAGCGACCCCGTGACCACGGGCAACCGCGACGCACCGCCTGCCGCGACCGACCTCATCTGAAAACCAAAAATAGTCGGCCTGTATTTTGGAAAACGAAAAAGACGGGAATTGCACATGGAGTTGCAGATACAACAAACACATTAGACATGGAAGCTGGAACTTACGTTACCGGTCTTTGCTGAACCGCAGGAACCTGTCGCACAGCCTGTTGTGATTGTTGCTGCTGTTGCTGCTGTTGCATGCTTGCAAGATCTGGGACCTGGTTAGTAGTCACGCCGCAAGTCTCATGGAACACTGTCGCATTGCTTCCGCATATGGTACACATGCCAGAGAGAGGGCCAGCATCGTTGCGAGCGCCCCGCCCGATCCTGCTTTCCAATGTCTGTGTTTGCTGGTACCTACCTGCTAGTGTGTCCATGCCGGGTGTCGACGCCTGACGGTAGACGTGCTGTGGAGGCGTCATGCGCGCATCGTGTGATGGGGTAACGGGCTGTGGTGTGCCCATGGCGCAGTGCATCGTTCTTGCGCCATTCGTGATATGCGCAAAGCCCGGCGAGGGCATCTGCTGGAGAGTCGGATGTGGTTGTGGCGAAGAGGTGATTTGCTGGCTGAGTCCTGAGGGGGTTCGCGAGGGCATCTGACGTATGTTGCGCTTGCTAGGCGACTGCAGTACCGATGGCGAGGGCATGGCGGACTGTGGAGCAGGCGTGCCTGCAGGCGAATCTGACGGCGATAGCAGCGAGTTGATGTCCATGATGGCGGTTGAGATGATGGATTTTTTGAAAAAAAATTAAAAAATTGGTACAGGCGCAGGCTCGACACGCTCTCGTGCGATTACTGGATGCGCGCCAGAGATGTACAATACCTCAGCTCAGTAGTGTACAATGGACGACTCTGGTTACAGATGTGAGCGCAAAGTGCGAGGAATACAATGCCGCGATGGCGTCGAAACTGGCGGCATGGGACGGTACGGGCGGGGCGCCGCAGCAGTCAAAGGTGCGCAAGCGCGAGACGGAGGACAGTCTAATGAGTGTGATGGAGGCGACGGAGCCTTTGCGCCGGTAAGTCGTGGTGGAGAGATGGCTCTGGCACGGGCGTCTGGACTGTTCGGTGATGAGAAGAAAAGGTTCACCACGATCAGAGCTCGGGTTGAACTAGGCAGGCACACGGCGGAAGCAAGTCTGGGCAGAGATGCAGGCGGCTGGACAAGCTCCAGATGGAGATTGGAGATTGGAGATTGGAGATTGGGGAGGGGGGGGGGGGGGAACCGGAAGGCTTAGCTTAGGGAACGTGGATGGATGGCGGATGACGGAGAGTCGGAGCGGCTAGGAAAAAGCAGGGCGAGCGCCAATGGGTTTGTTGCGGGTTGCGGGAGGAGGAGGGATGAACGTACATATCCGATTCCCTACTATGCGGTATGTTCCTCCCGGTTCACG